ACAGGGGTGGGTACGATGTCGGAGGAGCCTATCGCTCACTTTCAATCAATTGCACCGAGTGCCACGAACTGCAGTGTAAAGAGCCTTAAGTTTTTCCCCAACTCCTCTCAACCAGAAAATTTACTATTGGTCGGAAAAAGGCGTTGGTCGCCTGCTTGATCAGAACCTCGCACGTTTAGTATTGTGATCCCGCGGCACTCAATGGGATATTGTGGAGTTGTTAACCCGACAAATAGTATAGATTCACAGGCCGGCGCTGTCTGGGGGTTTCATGAAACGCATTGGGGGGCTGTCCTAGCCACCGAATGAATAAGTAGAAATCTGAAGAGACGAAACCCAAGAATCCTGAAACAAGAGATATCTTACCCTTCGCTGTGCGAACTTTGCATGTTCCTTATATCCCCATTGTCGGGTTTAAAAAAGTAAACAACAACGCAGACAAACGTGCTGAGTTGGGTGGTCAAAAGTCCATGCAACATCTCGGGTCCTTAGTGACTGCAAAGGCTCAGCAGTTATCCAATCTCCTTTCCTCGGCCCAACTAAAACTATGCACATAAGGCACTTGGTATACTGTAACTTTTAAAATATATTAGTATTGTGCTGTGAACTGATTTACGTCAATGAGCGGGGCCCGCATAGAAGTTGACCTTGAATACGATTCTTGTATGAAAGATCAAATACATTCGGCGTTGATCGGCTTTGCCACTCTTGATAAGCAATCATACTGTGACCCCAGCGAGAGAATTTGACGAAAATATCCCCCGAAGATTAATCACTGGTTAACAAGCAATGGGTAGTGGCCTCCAATTGGGTAGCCAATACAAAGCGTCTGGCAGAATTGACTTGCTGTGTGATGGACCGAGTTTGAGCTGGGAACGAGTTAGGTAACAAGACGGTATGTATCACGAAGCAGGGTCACCTAGCGGAAGATATTCAGGTTGAAAGTGGCTTCTCATAGCTAAGATAAATGTCCCACGCATCTAAAATGAAGTCAGCTTATAGGCCGGCTTCATTTGGGATAACCGGCCGCCTGGACCGGAGTCGTTTCGGAAGAGCATTAATCGGGGCAGAATAGTTGGCGATAGCTTCACGTTGCTCTGTGACAGTACGGTATCACTTGGATATGGTTGATGTATGGTTTGAGAAGAGCTTCGTCATGTTGGTGCAAAGAAACAAACTTGATGGCATCATCTCTTGACTTTCTCATTTTCATGGTTGCCGTCTTCGATTTGACCGTGTTCTGCCCGCGTTCTCCTAAAGAAACGAACAGTCAAAAGGACATGACGTATCAGAACACGTGTTTCTTTGACAAGAAGGTACGCTAGGCAGATGCCAATACAATGAGCGATCACAAAGCTCAGACAACTAGTCGCATTTGCTGAGTTCGAGCCGAGCTTACATGCACATGCAAGCAAACGGCAGCCATATGTCAAGAAAAGAACCGAAAACTTTCTTTGGGTTCGTGTTCCAATGTACTGTAATTCTCTCAGTCATCATTTTAGCAACAGAGTTATGTCTGAAACCAGGGGTGAGTAAGTGCCAATTGAGTTATGATGACATGTTCCCGTCCGAGGTTCGATCTGGATCATCCCAGTTTGGGTTGGGGGTTGAAGACCAGATGAAGCGCTTAGAGTTTGTTGGTCTGTGTCGAGTTCAACTCAAGGATTGATGGAGCTGCTCAAGAGTTGCTAGAGTGCCATCCAAGCGAACGGCCATTCCGCATCTTCAGCGCCATTCTGGGTCCGCTGACAACAATTCAACGAGTCCCATCGGACAACGGCCGGTTGGCCCAATGGCAAGGCGTCTGACTACGATCAAGCGTGGCATCAGGAGATTCTGGGTTCGACCCCCAGGCTGGTCAAGTTGAATTTTTGCTATTGAGGTGGGCGATGGAAAAGTGCCCAGCGGTGCTGCTTAGGGCACAATCTCTTTTTTGGAGGAACCAAGGAAGACCCCACCCACCTGGCTGTTTTGCTCACTGTGGGCCAGAGCACGGTTCGTTGGTTGTTTGCTGGGCGAAAAGCTTGCGTTCACCGGGTCTTGGATATGAGCCGGTGGGAGTTGAGTAAGAGTCGTGATGATCATCGGACAAGGCAGAGGCTTGACTAGTGTCAAACGTCGGAGCGAGTGTCAGTTCTACACGTCCAAACAATCATACGGCATGTGTATACGAGCGCAGAGAGCCATTAACAGCATTTCGATAACTAATCGAGAGCGAGAACGAGTAGATTTCGTCATGTTTAAGATCTGGGGAACAACGGCTCAAAGTCAGGGGATGCTCGTATCTCGTCGGCACCACCGCTCCGCATCGGCGACCCTTCGGCGACCCGTAGGCGCCGGTGATGCCGTGGGACCCCAGTCGGCAGTTTCGGCTTGTGGGAGAGCTCTCTTGGCTGTCAACTTGTCCCAGGGCTTGACGTTCCGGGATCGTAGGTAGAGGGCTCCTGTGGCTTCGGCAACTCTGTTCATTAGTTAGACCGCCGTGGCAATTGAGTCTTTCATAATCTGTGCGGACGAGGCACAACGGCGCACTACAATATAGGCAAGACGATCAGCAACCAACGCATAAAGTAAAATCAAACTCTAATAATCGGCAAGTGGAACCATTCAGAGCTCTGCCCCTTGACGGCACCCAATTTCCTCGCGATGCCTGACTCGTATTCCGACCGGGATGAAGGTTTCAACCGGGACTCGGGTCTCATACTGCCCCCCACACAATCTCAAATTCCCCTGGCCAGAGGCCACACCATAGTGATCACGACACACGTCAACGGCGCTGCGGAAATGCCAGGTTGCTCCCTCCGCCGACGGGGCCAAAGGTGCCCCTAATCCCGCAGTGGCCGAGTCTCCGGGTCCTGCTGCCCCTTTGGGCCCTTGGTTCCTTGGGGGGAACTGGAGTCCAAGGATGTTTGTCAATACCAAGTGAACCGTGCCATCTCGTTCTCCAGTAGAGAGCGTGCGCCCGTAGGAAATTGCTTCCTTTTGTAGCTGTCTAGTCCTCCATCCGCTCCTCCACAGCTACCTAAAACTCTTCCTCATCCTAAATCGACCGCCTTTCGAACCCCCAAATCCCGCCGGCCTGGATTCTTGAACGTGTACGCGAGCCATTCAAAGGAAAATTAATGATGAGAAGAGGATTGGCCAAGGCATCGTCCCGCTAAAGAACCCGAACAACCCAATTCCCGACGCGATCGTGCGTCGACGGACGAACAGTGAAAAATGTCGCCGATACCTCGGCATAGAGTCATCTCAACTTCAGCACTCGTCATAGCATCCCTCGCATCACATTCTCGGGCCGCCTTCGTCAACGACTTCTCTGCGTATCCGAAAAATGCAAGATCATGCTTGGATACAGCAGCGGCCGCGTCCGGCTGCACCGGCAACACGGTCACGGAAATGAATACATGTCTCTGCGGAAATGGCGGCAACTTTGTGCTGGCGACTGCGAAGTGCATTGAGAAGCAAGCCCAGGACGATGAGAAGCAAGCCAAGGACGATCTCGGCGCTGTATATGAGATGCTCCTGACCTCCTGCACGGACTCGAAAACACCACTGGGAATTTCTCAAGCACAATTCCTCGACCCCGAAGACGACGACGACAACCTATCGACAACATCTTCTGCTGTCAGCAGCATCACAACATTTGCTACGTCAATCACGATACCACCGACCGTAGCATCATCAACATCAGCAACAACAACATCAACATCTCTGACGACGTACGAGAGCGTAGCGCCAGGTGGAGTAACAGTCACAGTAACGAGGGGAGTCGAGGTATATCCGACCGGGACGGACAGCGGGAAACAGGATACCAACAACGAGAACTCGGATTCTGATGAGAAGAGCCCCAGTATTCCGGTTCTCGCAGCAGGAATCATTGGAGGGCTCGCTGTTGCCATCGCAGCGCTTGCGTTCCTCTGCTATCGTCGACGGAAGCAACGCAAGGAACGAAAGGGGCATGTCGGAGCGGGTGGAAAGTTTGCAGCGTTGTCCAGTGCGACGAGTCTCACGACCATGACGGCCTCGCCGCCTCAAGGCCAGGCAACGACGGCATACAATGGTGCGAACGACCGCAGACCTGGCACCGCAGACACGATGCAGATGGCAGCAGGTACCGCTGCGTATGGCTACCAGCAGCAACAACATGGACAACAAAGTCCTCAACATTGGCAAAATAACTCACCAAACCAGTACGGCCATCTTAGAGGAAATTGGCCATCGCCAGTAACCAACACGGATGGAACCACCGGAACATGGGGAGTTTCGCCCGTCTCTCAACATCCTGCGAACTCATCAAGGGGACACGAATCACCCCCATTGCAAAACTCAAGTTGGAACGCACATGCGGTTCCTGCGGGTGTTCCCGCACCTCACCCTTCACATCCATTGAACAACACATACACTCCCGTCTTCGAACTCCCCGGAGATGAAACACAGGCCGTCGAAGCTGACTCGACGCCCGTTGGCCATGCACAGCCAGTGCGGCCGCCCTCCCGATCGATTCAATCGACACCGGCACACATGTCCGCACAGCCGACACAACCAGCACCGACCCATCACGGAATGCCCAGGCAAATAGATGATGCGCTGCAAATATCGCGGGTAGAATTACCGCCGCCAAGGTACTCGGGACCTGCATCAGGATCCGAATGGGTCAGCGAAGACAAGAAATTCGGCTAGATGAGGGAGGTCCCTTGGCGAGACAGCTCCTCAGCATAATGAGATTCTATATATTTTGTAATACTTCCTACCCGCATGTAGACATTCAGGGCATCACTGCCGACATGATACATACCATGACTTCAAATTCTATTCACAATCCGTAACAAATCATGTCATCGGCTACAAGCGATGTCACCACCAACCCCTACTGTCGTCTGAAAATGACTTCAGTATAGATAAGATATCCTCAACCATATTGGCGTTGTTCGTAAGGCAAAAAAGATTAAAATGCCCATTCATGCATGGTTAGTTTAGGTTGTATTAAAAAGCAAAACAAATGTCCCTAGCAAGGCTCGAACTTGCGACCTTTGGATGTCCCGATCTTGAAGTCAGGTCATATTGATTACTAATATGAGACCAACGCTCTACCGACTGAGCCATAGAGACTGTTACTTGTCAAAATCTCCAGACAATGGGACTTAACAATACCAAGCAAACATCAAACCTCATCTTGAAGCGTAGTCGTAATCAGTTGCTCTTCGTTGATAGTTCACTCTATTATTCTATTGCTGTTCAATATGAGTACCATTCTCTACCAGAGAGGTATCTACTTAGGACATTACCAGCAGGCTTGAAGCTGCTGAAGTCATGACGCAACCCGCCAAACGATAGCTTGCATCATGCGCAGAGATTAATGACCTTGACGCGTCACCTGTCGGGTTGAATCTCTGGACGTTTCTGAGACGATTCGATGCGGTAGATGGAATTTTAGAAGACACCCTGCGCAGACTGTGTGGCGTCACGTTCACCGAAGAGCCTAGTTTCTACAATTGACCGAATCAGCCCTATAGGGTCGTGAGACCCATCATATGTGTGTCTTGCAAGACGAAAATCCCTGGCCGAGCTACCAGCTCGGCCCCTTTCTGTCAATAAAGAGGCCTCTTATCAGCCTTACCCAGCCACAATGATATGCGGGCGTCGTGTTCCGAACGCGCGTCCCGACGATGCTAGCCAATGATTCTTAGGGGCTCTGGGTCGGCCAACTCCAGCGGCTGAGCTGGGAGAATGCGGCGCAGCCGACTATGGCTTGGCGTTTCCCGTTCATATCATCATCCCACCGCGCGACCAGAGGCCGGCGGGGTCGGGACCCTAGTTTTCTCATTTAACCATAAATCATTGTCAACGACCGGGCTTACTCCCGAGGGCAGCAGCATCGCGTGGGGCTCATTTAGAAGCCTTTGTCGAGACTCCATCAGCGTCCAAGGAAATTATTTTCTCGTGACAATGGTCGGCTTCTCCTCCGCCGCGGTAACGTCAAACTGTGACGACATTTCCCATCGAGCAGTCTCCACGTCAGCTGAGCTGGATAGCCTGCTCAAAGGCATTGACCCTGGGAGCACTGCAGCCCAGCACCTGATCTCGTTCTCAGCAAAGCTCGACCAGTTCAGAGACACCACGGAACGGCTCCGGAAGTGTCTTGATGGCGCATCGGCCATCTCGCCTGGTCTGCGAAATGCCCTAGTCATCTCTGTACAACCATGCGCAGACGCAGCGGCAGTTGTAGACAAGCAGATCCGCAGGCTCGACCCGGGAAACGTGACAAGCCTCAACTCCGACGTGATCTTGCAATATGAGAGCTATCATATGGCGAATGCCCGTCTCTTCACACAATACATTCAAGTCGTCCAGATGTGAGTCTCTGAAACCCGCCGATCTCGTGTAAATAAGTGCTGAAATTATTGAGGCCCACGGTCGCGCAACAAGACTCGAGGCTCTCAGCACCAGACGGGCACCGGTTGCTGGAAACAGCTGTAGAAACATCACAGATCGTCCTCACCCGCAGCGATATTCTCCAGGCCATGGAAGAGCCCGGCATTTCGGACATCAATAGTGCAACAATCGCAGGAGGGCCCGTGGTCATCCCGTCGGATGCGCCCCCGCCAGACTATACCCCAGGCAAGCCCGGCAAGGGAAAGAGCAAAGCCACTGGCCAATTCTTCTCGTCAATCTCGAGCTCTTTCAAAGCAATGACGGCCAGTTTGCGAGCCAAGCCAGAGCCGATGGTAATCGCCATGTGCCAGGCAGCCAAGAGCGGTGACGTGGGTCATCTCAAGGGCTTCGTCTCGCAAGGAGTCAACATCAACGGCCAAAACGACGAGGGATATACGCCGCTCATCTGCGCCATTCGTGCTAATCAAATTGAAGCCGTCGAGTTCCTCATCAAATCCGGCGCCGATCGATCGGCCAAAGACTCTTTCAGCGGAAAGAAGAAGCCGCCTTTGTTTCACGCTGCCGAGTGTGGCCTTGTTCCCATCGCCGAATTGCTCATAGACAACGGCGCAGATGTCAAAGAGCGCTCCTGGTCCGGACAGCCATTCTTCATCGAGGTTGCCAACAGCGACCGGCTGGAGATTGTCAAGCTTTTCTTGACCCGGGGCTGCGATGCCAACACTGCCGCTATTAGCGGACGCACCATTTTCATCCACGCTGTTCAGGCTGGAAGTCTTCCGCATATGAAGCTACTGCAGGAATTCGGTGCCGACATGAATGCCCGCGACATCACTGGCCAACCCGCACTCCATATGGCTTTGGGGCAGAACCGCATGGACATTGTCTCTTTCCTCCTGGAGCATGGTGCGGACCCTAACGTGATGGATCTGACTGGCAGCACTATGATCATCTCCGCGCTGCACAAGAAGAAGTACGAGCTTGTCAAAATGCTTCTAGTCAGGGGTGCCGATCCGAATGCCACGGGCCTGATGGGCAAGGGCATTCTCTGGACAATGTTGCAAAATAAAGATATGGAGGATGGCATCAAGGTGGACCTTGTTCGGGCACTTCTACAGCGAGGGGCCAACCCCAACGAGGTTGACAATTGGGGAGAGTCCATCATGAGTCTGGTCATCACGCTGGGCAATACCGAGCTTCTTCGAACGTTTCTTACGCATGGGGGGAACCCGAACAAAAAGATCAAGGACGACACCTTCCTCCTCTATGCCATCAACCAGGGAAGACTTGAAGATGCAAAGCTCCTCTTAACTCACGGCGCAGACGCAAATGCGGCCGACAACAAGGGTAGAACGCCTCTCGTTGAGGCCCTTCAAACGGAGAATTCCACTTTGGTACAGACATTACTTACGTTCGGCGCGGATGTCAATAAGATGGGGCATGTCAAGCCACTGACGTTGGCACGACTGCTTCAAAAACCGGAACTCGTTCAGATGCTGACGGAACGGGGGCTCAGGCTCCTGTTCCACCAAAGCTGATGATTGCACCGCCTACACAGGTGACCCCTAACCGGCCAAACACGAGTTCCAGGCGGCAAGATCGGCCGGAATCGGGGAGAACGGAAATGCCGCCCCCGTATACGGAAGCAAGAGTCCCTGATGAGGCGGCAACACCGGGAACACTAAGCGGCGGGCGGAAGTTGGTCTAGGGTGGTCTGTTAGAACTGCAAGGGATGGCGTTGGATCGGTCATGCTTCACTTCAGACGCGCAAAATGTTGTGCTACATGCAACTAAACTTTTAAGAATTTCGGGCGATGGAGGACATTATGGGCTTGAATCAGCTTTAATAGGGTCATATAAAAACTAAACGCTACTCATACCGAAGCACTTTTCCCCGCCTTAAGTAACTGACGTCGAAGATACACTGGCAATGGAAGCTGCCATGGAGCCCCTCTCATATTAGTGGGCTTGCTACTATTTTCACAATGGCAAGTTAAACTTTCAGCATTCTAAGTGAGGGTTTCTCTTTGTGAATAACCTACTACTACTGCTTAGGACTTGACCCAAACGCATAATGAAATCTCGTGGTAGACGAGGGCGCCAAAAGGATCAGGTCGGTAAGACAATCTGCTTGTTCAAGACCCAACGCGCTAAATTGAACCCAGGTAGCCAGACCCTTTGGGCCCTTTGGGTGGTAGGTAGCGTCGTAGCCCAAGGAGTTGCTCATTATCTCGAACTTGGGTACATCCACCCCGCAGCCTCGGGGACCACGTCGAATGTCAGCAATTTTCTCCTGACGAGGCATTGTACAGTCTTTGTACCAGGCTAGCGACGGAGCGAAGGATCTGAAATTGTCTCACCTGCGGAGCTGCAATGACAAGACCGAATTCACCAAAACCTCTGTCTAGATTCGTATCTCTGAGAATGATGAAGAAATACAGCTGACAGAAGCTCAGCGGTGCCCGGCTCTATCCATCTATGGTCCTCTGCTAGTGGCCATACGGCCTCTTTGCTAGCCTTCCTTACGCTTCAGTCCCATTATATAACAAGTCTTCTACGCCCCATTCCAGTAGTAGTTCTGGTCTGCTTTTATCAATGACCTATCATCTAACCCTCTCCTCAATCATGCCTTGAAGCTTTAATGCTGACTCCTTGGGTGTTCTCTCTAATGTATCGTAGTCTGTAAAAGTCACGCCAAACCTAGGACCGTACCCTTCGGTCCATTCTAGCAGTAGTGTTAGCATATCGCAAAGCACGAGGTCGAAATTGACCTCCATGGGGTGGTAGGAAACTCGCCTAAGTTATCCATCAACGACCAGGCAAAGTACCCGGATATCTTTGCCCCGTCTTGTATTGCCTCAACAATAGCATCCAGGTGGTCCGTAAAATATTTCTGACGGAACTCATCCTTGACAGACTCTTCTTTGGACATTTTCTCCTCGCCGGGACAGGGACACCCGTTTTCGGTAACGTAGATAGGCTTGCCGTACTTGTTGTAGATTCTCACAAGGTGCTTTCGGAAGCCTTGTGGCACAGAGCGCAACCAATACATACCGCTGAGCTCGCCGATCGACTCGCCGGCTTTGTTCTCGGGTAATCCATCCGCGTTGCCCCAGTAGTCCGTATCCGACGCAGCGCTCGTGCGGTGCCGCGCGAATTGAGAGGTGTAATAGTTCATCCCATAGAAGTCGAGCTCAGCCTCGCGCAACAGCACGAACTCGTCTTCTGTGAAAGTGGGCAAGCGGTCTCCAAGCTGTTGACGCATGACTTCGGGGTAATCCTTCGCGAGACTGAACGAGACGCCGTGTTAGAAGGCTCGCGTATCTGAGGCCACCCAGTTCGGAGCTCCACATAAGTGTATCCAGCCAGGGGTTACTTACAACATGGGGTGGGCAAACCAGCCTTGCCAGAAGTCCATCCGTCTCTCAGCCGCTTCGTGGTCTTTAAGATCCTGAGAATCCCACGGTATGAAATAGTCGCCACTGATGGACACGCCAATGCAGCCACCTTGGCTCGGTTTAAACTCCTTGTTGTACAGCTTTGCCGCTCTCGCGTGCGACAAGATGAGGGAATGGCCAACGATCCAAGGCTCAGTTGTCGAATTGCCTTCTGTACAGTCCTTGTTAGTGCTACTCCGTCCTGGGGCGTCGCAGCCCTTTGAGAATCCCTGTAGCCATGTTAGACACCAAGTTCTCACTCTCACCTTCCTCGAGGTGGAA